GAACTAGCCAGTAAGAAACCAAGAAAACGGCCGACAGCTTCATAATTAATATAGTGTCCTGTGTGTTATTTGGGAGTTCAGATAGCACAGCAGGGCCCAGGTGACTGGCAAGGAAAAAACAACACTCTACAAAGAGGTAGGAGTAGGTAGGAATCTTCTCTCCACATTGAAGCACTATGGCCAGATTACTGAAAGATTAAATATAGAAGAAGAGGGTTCCTTGGAAGGAAGGCTCCAGAAAATACAAATGCTATCCCTACAGACATGCCTAGAAACATTATCCTCAGGGAATGTGAAGTCATTAAACCCAAAGCTTTATCATCCATAGTATAGCAGTGCCTAAGAGTACAGCTTGGACATGGAGCATCCCCCTGCCTCAGCAAAAATGGAAATCATGACAGCACTCAGTGGATTGTGAAGGCTAAATGAGTTGGCAAATGAAAAGACATAGATCTATGTCATAAACTGGAGGAAGTACATCAATGGGAGTTTACAGTCTCAAGCCATTACCTGTTCTCTCTCTTTCTGCTTCCGGTGCATGGATAAAGATGTGGTCAGCCAGCTTCCTGCTCTTGCTGCCATGTGGTGCCTTCCCAGCCATTGTGAGCTCTTTCTCCCTGGAGCCATAGGCCAAAATTCATTCTTACTTAAGTTGCCTTTGGCCATGTTGTTTTATCACTGCAACAAAGAAGTAACTGAAACAGACAACAGAGTATCAGAAAGTCTCAAATGAACTACAGTAGAAACAGGGGTGCAGCTTTGTGGGGGGGTTGGTCTTAGCTGGGCTTCCAAGCAACAGTGGCCTCTTCACTGAGATGAAAAGAATGTTTCTCAAGGTGGCATTGGCTCTGCAGGCATTGGCCTGTCAAAGGCATGACCTTAGTCAAGACCATTGAGGAAATAAGACTGGGTGTGTATTCATCTTTCCAGCCAAGGAAACTTGGATGACTTAACCTGAGTAATGTCTCACCTAAAACTGGAAACAAACAGCATAGGACACAAGGGCTCCTGAGTAAGAGGGTCCATGGTAGGAACTTAGTGCAGGATCTGACACACAATTGAATCACCAATCCTGTTACTCAGCTGGGCCATCAGTGAGTACTAAGACAATGTGTTGTTCTTGTGTGGAAATGTATGTGTGGTAACCTCTCCCAAGCACATAACTAGGGAATTTCTGATTCCTCTTCTCCTTCTTCATTTTCTTCCTTTCTCCTGATTTTAGAGAAAGAAATACATGGTAAATTCTGTTTTTAGAGAAGATATAGATGCTAAATTCTGACCAACAACTGTGACACAGGAGAGATAGCTTTCCTATGGTCATCACAGTAAGACTGTAGTTACTTAACACACAAAGTGTCATGAAAATTCAATATGATCTCAATAAGGAAACCTTTTAGACTTTTATTCTATGACCACTACTTTGGAGTATATAGAAATACCATTGCATAATACCACACTGCATGAAGATAATCATGACTCTATTGCCTACATTGGTTAAATTAAGCACCCTTTAATTTTACATTAAACTGCTTTTTGCATATTTTGGGTTTATTCTTATCATTGAAATTATAGAGACATTTTTGTATGTCAAGGGTAAAGTAAGTTTAATACAACAAGCAAAATGTCTGCTGGCTTAAAATAGGGAACTGCAGCTTTCCATGATGGATGTAATTGAACAAAACGGGGAAAAAACCTTGGGTCTTCGAAAGGAGGAGGAGACCTAGCTCGTTTATCCACAAATGGCTTAAAGCTCTAGACATGTATACCCCTCTTTGAATACGCATTTCAAGTAAGCACGAACTCCCAACAGTGCACACATGGATCGGTTGCGTAAGCTCGAGAAGCGGGGCAGGTGAGATACCCTGCACCAATAGAACACATGGGATTTACGCACTACGGCGAGAGAGCCACATGACCCCCGTCAGTGATGGTAAGTTAACCCTTCCATAGCTGACCATCGTCATAAAAAAATGAGAGCAGGCACATCGCTCCTGCGCCCTCTGTGCAACGCACGCACTTCACGCCATAGTTTTCTCCCTGCTCGTCATATTTTCCCCACACACATCCTCATGTGGGTCTACACGCTGGCTTCATCCGGGTCTCCACGCTGGCTTCATCCGGGTCTCCCAGAACCTCAAGTTACCAGGATGTCCTTAGAAAGCCAGTGACCTAAGGGTTCGTAAGAGAGCACTGTGTGGCTTGCCGCCGAGTATGTTCCTTTCAGGTACATGTTTTATAGCTTTTGTTTTTGTTTTTGTTTTGCGAGACAGGGTTTCTCTGTATGTTTTGGAGGCTGCCCTGGATCTCGCTCTATAGACAAGGCTGGTCTCGAACTCACAGAGATCCACCTACCTCTGCCTCCCAAGTGCTGGGATTAAAGAGGTGCGCCACCAACACCTGGTGTTTTATAGCTTTTATTGATTTTTCCACTTAGTTGCAATCAGCTGTGAAAATAACCATTCTGCAAGTTTAAAAAAAATGGCCGGCAGTATGATTACTCAAGATGGTGTGTGCTTTTCATAAAACTGAATCAGAATGGGCCCTAAGTGTCTGATAGATACAATTTTTTAAGATACCTTAGAAAATAGCCATTCAGATCTACAGAGTGTAAGGCTTGCCTCTCATAACTGAAGCACTTGCTTTTGATGTCAATGACTGGTGCTGCTTCCTGTCAGTTGATCAGCCTCTCAAGCTATGATTAATCTTTGCCTTGGTAGAGATTCTAAACTTTCAAGAGTTTTGGTTTTTTTGTTTGTTTTTTTTCATATGGAATTCTATTTGCCCGTCCACTCAAGAACAATTTTACAATTTTGATGATTAAAAAATAAAAAATGAATAAAAGAGGCTTAATATGGTAATAGGAAGGGCTTATGGCACAATATATGGGTGCTGAATTCCTTTGACACTAATTAGAAGAATGATTTGTCTACATACCTCCTTTTAAAACCCCTTCCTGTAGAGAGAAGCCTTTTCCTTGCCAGCAGCTTTGGTTTATCCCCACCAGTCGCCTGGGCTTTGCCGTGTTGTAGTCCCCAAATAACACACAAGACGCTGTATTAATTATGAAGCTGTTGGCCTTGCTTGTTTCTTACTGGCTAGCTCTGACTTAAGTATTTATCCCATAATTGTTCATCTAAGTATTTCTCTTACCGGAGAAGTTTCTGGGCTTCTTACCCCTATGGCGGTTACATCTTGACTCCCTGTGTTTCTCCTATCCAGAGTCCTCCTCGACTCCTAGTCCCACCCAACTTGCTTCCCTATTGGCCAACAGTGCTTTATTGACATATACACAGGACTTCCACATCACCTTCCATATTTAATGTCACCTTTGTCAAAGCCAGTATCTACCATAGTACCCCCATTCTAAGCACTGGTATTCAACAAAGGCTTACATGATATGAAAAATTCACCAGTATTTGCGTAACAGAATCAATAGGGCTATATGAACGATATTAAGTTCACTTGAAAATAACATCTTTACATTGTTTCATCTTGAGTGTTTACTCATTTGCTTAAAAATTTATTTTTATCATATGATTTTATAGAATCATACGCCTTATAGTGTAAAAGCCTAAAACCTTTATCATTCTTCAAGAATGAATCAGATACTCTGAGACAGACTAAATGTGTCCAGTAAATAGAAGATGCTTTTGTTTTTAAATTTTAAAAGCTGTGTCATTCCTTCGATCTGACCCACGACTTCAATTAATACTAGTGACTCAAACATTCTTAACACCAGAATAGCCTTTTCCTCTGGACTCTAGACCTTTCTGCACATCTCTTCGTTTAATATGGACTTCTGGTATCCCAAGGCCATGTCAGATTCCAAACCAAAGCTGTGTCATGAAGGACTTAGTGTTCCGCCATGATCCGGCATGAGCATCCAACTGCATGGCTGAAAAACCCAGGAGCAAATAGGACATCCCCAATTCCCTTCCCTCTCATTCCACCTCTCGCCCACTTTATTCCCTTTTCCTGCTCATTAACTATGTTAGGCCCTCACTCATCTTGCCTACCTGTCTCTCTACCCCCAGCTTCTGTCTCTAAGCTCATTGCTTCAGTGTTCCCGGCTGCTCCTAAATCTGCACCCAGCCTCCCCTCCAGGAGTGGATCTTGGGTGGCAGCCAAATTCCCATTTTATCTTAGCAGTACTGTGGGTTTATTTTTTGCTGTGTGTGGGAGGCTGTTTGTTTTGTTCTGCCCTCGTGCGTTGCCCTTCTCTGATTTCCTGATTAAGAACGGTGGGAACTGGATATTCTCTTCTCGTCGTTCCTGCCTCTGGCTTTCAGTGTCTACTGTTCCCCTGAATGTCTGCCTGGACCACCGGCTACAGTTCCAACCATCTTTGTTCAGCGTCTCTTTCCTTCTCCTGTCCTTCAGGGTTTCTCTTTGTTTTGATCATCGATTGGTCACTGCTGCTCAAGTTGTATGACAGATCTAGTGTTTCTTTACTGACTTATTGGAACCAATGTTGAACCAAGTCCTTTCTGTCTGACTTTCACATCTTTAACTCAGCAGCAATGTTATTAGATTCTCTGTCTCCATCCAAGTACAGAATGTTCCCTTAATGATAAGGACCCCCCATTCTTCCTGTTAATGAAATCAAGACCAACTCATGAATGAAGCCACATTTGGATCACAGCAATCAAAATTTGTCTCATAAGATTAGGCAATGAGTAAGTACAGACCCAACTGGAGACCAGAATAATGTGGAGCTGTGAGGTAGACGTTTTCCATAAGTGGTGGAACTGGGAGAAAGGGATAAGGTGCCTACAAGGCAATACAAACCCTGTTTCCTGTTTGTGTACCTGACCAACTCCTGAATCTCCTGGCCATAGCTTTCCTTGTAAATCCTCAACATTAAAAATAATGAAATGTTTTCACAGTGGGGCAACAATGTCCTAACCAACAGTCAGTGATAGGACTAACCTCCAAGACAAGGAGCAGTCCCAAGGGAGAAAACAAGTTCTCATTCAAACTGGTTCTGAACAAGCATGTGGTAGGAAGGAAACATTTTAAATTCACTAGCAACAAGAAAGTTGAGTTAAGATAGACAAGAGCAGGCAGAATAGATATAGGGGAAACTAAAGATGCTGTGGGCTCCTCCCTTCCATGGATCTAGCTTTCCAGGAATACTGTTGCTGTAGTAAACCTTGCTTCCTGCCTTCTTCTTTTATGTTGGTGTGTTTTCCGTCGCTGAGCTCGAGAACTGGAGACAGCCGTAGCACCGCCTTTGAGAGCTGCGAGCAAGCCTCGTGCGTCTAACTTATGCCCTTTGTAATCTCCTCTTTCAGTTATCACAGCAATTTACTGCAAAAGATAAACAGAAAAGGTTGCGAGTGAACGGAGGGATTTTGTCCATGGGAGACCTCAGTGTCATTGTGATTGAAAGAACCTGGCCTTCCAACTGCAGACTTGGGTAAAAAACACAGTGACAATATGGATGATCCTGATTCTTCTGGCCAGTGCCAGAAAAGTTCAAAGTCAAGCCTCAGTTGCCCACAAATCAGAACCAATGTGAATGGAGCCCACCATCACCCCCTGCTGCCTGTGTTCACAAACAGTTGGCCAGGACAATTTTGCCAGGACTGATTTGCCAAGCCACACACTGGGTCCACCTGCTGTTTGCTTAAGGTCAGGCATGGCCCTTGCTCAGGCCACTCCTGTACAAAACGACTCCATCTGTCCACCTACAAAATAACCACAAGCTGTCAAAAGATACTGTGAAAAATCCCACGGGGCTCGCACGCTGCGATGCTCAGAGCCGTTTGGACCGCAAACAGCTCTAGGTGTGCCTCACATGACACGGGCAAATTCAAGTCAGAATGGCCCAGTCTCTCCCCCAATCTCTGTCTCTGCATTCTTATTTTCCTTGTTATAATTCTCTGCTTGTCAGTATGCCTTGTGACGGCTAGCTCCATGCACCACGCTGTACCACCCTCTCTAGGTGGATTTGTTTTTTAGTGGGTTGCAGTCACACAGGACTTCTGTGTGTAAAATTTCTCTCATGGATGAAATGTGTGCCCCTTCTCCTTCCCAGGAGCAATGGAAGTAAAGGGGTCTGCCTATAGAACTGTGTTCACAAACATCAGTTACCCATCCTTTTTGAGTGAGCAAGAGAGTGACAAGGAATAAAATTCACATGTAACTAAACCAGATATAGCGGGTAGAACTATCCTTAGACCTGGGTTCAGCAAACACTTCCCCGGGTTTCCAACTTTTATTGAGACTGTCGGGGCTCCCGAACTAGCCACAGGGTTAGCTCAGAAGACTTAACTTTTGACCACAGAAAAATTACCGGCGATAAGCTTACTGGGGTTTTTGAAAGCACTCAGTGAAATTTTGGACTGTAGGAATTCACTATGCCCACCCCCCCTTCCCCCGAGGGACTGCCATATTGTCCCTAAAGAGGTGGTAGGGATCCTAGCAGCATTTCCTGACAACAAGTAAAGAGGAAGTACAAACCAGCTGCAGAAGCAGGTAGTTCAACCTTGGGATTGGAGGGTATTGTTGCTTGAAGTTCATGGATGCCAAAGAAGTGGTTAAAAAACAGGACTCAAGAGAGGTGCTTTCAAAAGTACAGAGGGGCTCTTTCGTTGGACAGCTTCATGCGTCTGTACAGTGTTGGTCATTTTAACGTCTATTCCTCTTTCTCTCCTCTTCCTGCTTTCCCTTATTAAAAAAAAAACTACTGAGCTACTGAGTTTACTTACAGTTTCCTGCCCAAGCATGGGTGGAAGGTTATTTACTGGAGTAAAGACGACTCACTAAGGCTACACCACTGAAGAAAATGACACTCTCTCCCCAACAGTTTTTAACTGCCAACGGCTTCTAGGGGTGTGCAGGATTCCACACCTCCCCGTGCATGTGGAAGCATTGAGGGACCCAGCCTTGTGCAGGTCCTGCAAAGGAAGCCACAGCTGCACTGAGTCAACACATGTGACAATGATGTCCTATTCAAAAGACATCGCTGTGTTTCAGATCTCCCCAACCTCCGCTTCTGGGATTCATTCTCACCACTCTTCTGTGATGGCCCCTGAGTCTTGGAGGCCTTGTTTCAGCATCTTATCATCACTTATTGTTGGCATGCTGGCTAGTTACAGTTCCTGCATCCACCGCCACCCAGGGCAGTAAGAAGCTTCTCTGATGAAGGCCGGGTGCCGTGCTAATATATGAGTAGAATAACATAAAAACATGCATTTAGCCATCTGGTGAAGCTAAATGAATAATCAGAGAATGTTTCCGTGACAATATTGAGTGGATCGAAGAGAAGTTTTGCCAGAATCCTTCTGTATTCCATCTTACTACAGAACAGCTTCCCAAAGACAAACCCTGAAAAAAATTATTTTCTTAAGTCAGTAGACTGAACCACAGAAACCCTAAAATTCTTTCATCAGTGGGCTTCATGTGACGAAAATGGACACTCAACTGAAAGACCTACTGCGTACCACTGATATTTAGTAATGTTCAATAAATGTTTGTCAGTAACTGGCAATAAGGACTTAAACCCAACCTCAGATTTTATAATGTATTTAAGGAGACAATTGCTGTAATTTTTAATAATGGAGCTGCAGTGATGTGCTATGGGGGTGGTCATAATTCAGGAATATAATATCTATAATATGAAATATTTATCTATAATGTTTTATTAATAGTGATGCTATGAGATTATAGCAATCATTGCATAGGTCAGTAAGCGTAATATGGGTCTACAGTTTGTCTTTTGGCATAAAGGTATGAGAAAGGCACTGTTATATGCAGGACGGGCAGCTGTGGCAGGGAGGGGAGCTTGATAATAACGTGTCATGGGGAATGTTCCCCTGTACATATGTTTCTCCTACTGGCTGATGACTAAAACAACATGTGTCCATGGGCACACTTGTGTACAAATAATGAGCATTCACGTGCAGCCTGCATGCATGCTCATGTATGTCATCCGCGAGTGGCCTGCAAGCACACTTCACACACATCACAGTCAGCCTGACACAGGCTGCTTTGGAGTCTTAGAAAGGTGCCTGATGGCCTCTGACAAACCAGCAAGTGCTGGCTGGCTTCAGATGGTGGGAGCACACGGGTGATTGAACTTTTCCAGGTTTTCAGTATCTGCGACATGCTGTGATTTCTCTTCGAGTACCCTCATTTACTTCCAGGGGTCTTTCAGGCATATTACATCATTCTTGTGTTGTGGAGCCAAGAATTAAAGTTTCAAAATATTGAAACACTTGGGGCCTATAAGATACCTCAGCAGGTAAAGCATCCACAACTAAGCCTGAAGACCTGAGTCTAATCACCAGGATACGCACACTGGAAAGAGAAAACCAATTCCTGCAGGTTGGCCTCTGACCTCCACTTGAATGTGTACACACATGCACACACACACACACACACACACACACACACATACACAGACAGACACACACACACACGTATTTTAAAATGACATTATTAATTGTCTTGTGCCTCCCTCCTTACTACTGTCCTAATCTGGCTTTCTATAATGGATTGATTTTTAATACAGAGCTCCTAATTGATACACGATATAAATGTCAATATACATGATATTTCAGATAAAATTTTCTTGTGTATTCCGGTATTATTTCTGTCTTTTATATGTGTTTCTGCCCGGTGAAATTAATTGTTGCCTGAGTCAAACACATCAGGAGCAAAGAAACAGACCTCGCCTGTAAAAGAGGTATTCACCCTCACCTGTTAGTTATGGTGAGAGTTCTTTCTCACTGCACAGGTGACTTGTCCTAAGAAGGTCTTATGGCAGTCTTAATCATGAATAGCATGCCCTGAGTGTCCACTAGTCTCATGCCCTGCACTAAACAGCAAAGGCAGAAAATGAATCTGTGTTGACTTCTGTCTTGCTTTTTCATATGAACAATTTTGCAAGGAGAAAAAGAAAATCCCATCTGATTTCTAGAAATGCGTTATGCCAGATGGAAAGAGAATACTTATTGATAGGAATGAACTATTCTTAGTGTTTACCAAGTGGGAGGATTATTTAATTGCTTATCTTTTGTGTTTGGAGTATAAATAGCTAATCTCACAAAACATTACTCATCTGATCTCAGGCTTCCTACTAAAATATCCTAAGACTATGATATTTTAAATAATTGAGAAAACTTAGATTTAATATTGTGAAATGAGTTTTTTCTGGTAATGGAATATTCTGGAAACTAGAAACATAGCTTGCTGAAATTTGGCAAAAGCAAAAGTATGTGGACAATGCTTTGGCATTTGTAATTAATTTCACAGAAATATTTGTTTAATCAGACAATGTGGTTAATCACCGAGGTAAAATTGAAAGTTACCAACACGGAGTGCTGGTGCAAAAGCCAATAAATTCAGTTCATAATCATTATGTACTTGCTAGCTGTAATAACTTACTGTCCATACCAAATCTTTATAAGCATTGTAATTAAATATAAAATGCACATTAGAATTATTATGAGTAATTAGGGCAACATAACAAGTATGCACGGAAGTCCCAAAGCTCATTAAAACATTAAAAGAGAAAAACCTGTTCTATCCAATGTTCCTGCTTATTCTGTATAGGTAACTCAATGCTGGGCAACCTGAATTTTATTTTTTTATGAATTATGCATTTGGGCCTTTAGTTCAGTTAACAAATACAGGTTTACTTACATTTTGGAAGAAATGGAAGACATGGGTGGGCACTTGTGCACATGCACACACACACACACATGCAAGCAAGCATGCACATACACCACACACACACACACACACACACACACACAAACACACACTGCATCAGATCACAGTAAGATGTATTATTTGATAACATGGCCAGTCCACCTTATAGGATTTCTCTCAGCACGAAGAATGTAAAATCTGGGGCCTGGGGATACCACCACTCAACTGTTAAGAGCTGTTCTACAGATGGCTGGAGATAAGTTCTGAGCTGGATGGCTCATAACCACCTGGAATTCCAGCTTAGGGTGGGTAATGCCTTCTTCTGACCTACGTGGGCACCCAGACACATGTGAACAAACACAGAAAGGCACATGCATAATCTTTAAAATAAAATAATTCTTAAGGAAGATAATGTCAAAGTGCCTTGGTCCATTAGGCTATGGGGCATTCCATGGGACAAGCCAAGCAGCCCTGAGGATGAAGTGGAATGTCTAGCCCAACTTTGTTGTCACACATGTCTCCCACTATGAGCTTCATCTTAAAATATGGTGAACTCAGATCCAGAGCACCAACATTGGGGACGGGCAGGGCACCACAGCTCACACTACTTCAATATCCTCCTCCACCTGGTCTCCTGGGGAAGCAAACAAATTGCTTCTAATATCCTCATTATACACACAAACGACTCAAAACCCCAACTTTCAGTTCACACACAAAGTGAATAGATTACACAAATTCAAATACAATTCAGATTCGGTTAATAAAAGGGCTTTTTTTGGTCAAAATAAACTTGAGATCTTTAACAAGCATATCCATTTATTTAATTGCAGTATTGCTTCCTGTGTCTATAATATGTAATGTCAGGAAAAGCTTTAGCTTTAGATGAAATTACAGGCTAATAATAATAAAGGAATTCCATTTCTAGAACTTTGCTAGTTAAACATCTTTGGGAAATGTGCATTATTAGAAAATGGCATTGTTATACATATTAAGGCATACAGTAAAATATATTTGATTGTTATTTTACTCCTTGAATGCAGTCCACAGTCATCAGAACTCCTTGGGGAACTGAGCTATATATTGAGTTGAAAAAATCTGGAAGGGGGCTGGTGAAATGCATCAAACCACGGCACCACGTGCTAATCAATCCTGATTGATAGGGGAAGTCCTACTGTATATGCACCTCTCTTATCGGTTCATGAATAAAATACTCTGTCACTGGCGTCCAGGCAGGAAGGATTTGTGGGGCTACAGAGGAGGAGAATTCTGGGAAGCGTAGGTAGGTAGACAAGAGTCTCGATGTGATCCAGGGAAGAGAGGATGCGTCAAGTGTTGTCCGGTAAGTCAACCCCATGTGGAAATACATACATTAATATAAATGGGTTAGTAAATAAGACAGAGCTAGCCAATAAGTAGCCCTAGCCACCAGTCAATAGTCTCATAATTAATATAGCATCCTTGTGTTTATTTGAGGCTCAAGAGCTGTGGGACCAGCCATGACAGAAACCTCTCATAACATCTCATAACACCTAATGTCTTTTTTGGTTTTTTTGTTTTGGGTTGGGTTTTTTTTTTTTTGGTTTTTTGAGATAGAGTTTCTCTGCATAGCTTTGGAGCCTCTCCTGGCACTCACTCTGTAGACCAGGCTGGCCTTGAACTCATGGAAATATGCCTGCCTTTGCCTTCCAAGTGCTGGGACTAAAGGCGTGTGTCACCACGGCCCAGCAACACCTGATGTCTTGAGTTCAATCCCCAAAATACACATGGAAGGAAAATAACTGACTCTTTTAAGTTATCCTCTGACCTCCACATACAGTGAAGGCAGTGGGATTGTTGGTGCCAGTGCATGTGTGGACATACACACAGATGTAAACTAACTTTTGAAAGGAAAGTTCTGGGGCAGGGCAGGGGGGCGTGTATTGTAAACAGAACCCAGAGTGGCAGACAGTACTTCATGGAGGTGATGCTACCCTTTGTTGATCACTTTGTCAGCAAAAGTCTACAGCATCTACAGTGTTCCCGCCACCTCGTGGCCATCAAAGATCCCCCACAAATATCACTCCATACCAGGAAGTTCCTCATTCCATCAGTACCTCAAGCTTCTCTATAGTCGCAGTGACTTTAGTTCTTTACCACAGAGGAGGTAAACAGTGAGAAGAAAGCAATAAGAATAAGCATAATAAACAT